TCTTTTCATGCCATCCCCAAAACTCTTAGGTTCTCTTCAATTCTCTGTTCTGATTTTTCTTCATACAAGTTGGCATCAAGAGATTTTTCTTCTAGCTGGGAATCACATTCTTCAGCCAGTTTTAATCTAGTCTTTTGTTCTTCTACTGTGTTATCTATCTCAGTAATTTTAGTGTTCATATTCTGGATTTCTAATTGCTGTTTCTGTATGAGTTCTAATTGCATATTTATCTTGTTATTCTGTTATGGTATTGTCTCTCATCTTTTTGTTTCTTTTTATCGGTTCCTCGAGCTCCTGGAAGGGTCCTATATATTTACCTTCTGAATTTCTTCTTAGATAGTTCTGTTGCTTGCTCTTCTTCCATGATAGATAATTCTTTAATATTTCTATTATCTTTAATATTTCTATTATCTTGTCCTGTTTTTTGATTTGAGGTTGTCTGTTGTTTCTTAGACATTTTGTTCTTTTTAATTGTTAGTTATATAAAGATTTGTTTCACCCTGATTTTATGTTTTACTATATCTGAAAGTATGGAAAAGCTGTACTTTTAACTCCCCTGTACTGGGTCACTCTCCAGTGCTCTCTGTTGGTGGAGTCACTGGTGGGCTGTGGGTGCAGGTCTGTTCATTGTAAAGAGGATTTGGAGTTGGGATGAGCCGGTGTTGTCCACCGTTTGTCCTTGATCCTGTGGCACAGGAGCTACTGGTGTTAACCTGTCTCTGTCTATTGGGTGAGGTGTTCAGTGTAATAGCTCTGGTTGCCTGGTGGAGGTTTAAGGTGTTCTTCCTCGAAACACTCCCAGTGTGTTCCCTAACACCTGTGGGTTCTTCCCCCCACCAAGTCATTCAATCTGCTCTCTTTCTTCACCTTCACTGAATATAATACTTTATCTTCTCCTTAGTTGCTCATAACTCCAGTATCATTATTTGTATTTCAGTTGGAAGATAGATTAAACATGCTTGCTGTCTGTAAGTCTTGATATCTTGTTTTGATGTGCATCTCTCTAATGGCTAATGATTGCAAGCATTTCTTCATGTGTTTGTTGGCTGCCTGAATGTTTTTTTTGGTTAAGTATCTGTTCATGTCATCTGCCCATTTTGTAATTGTATTATGTCTTTCTGATGTTGAGATATTGAAGTTGTCCACAAATTTCACATATAAGTCCCTTGTCAGATACATTGTTAACAAGTATTTTTTTTCCCAATCTGTAGGTTCTTGTTTTACTCTTCTGGAGAAATGTTTAAATGAGCATAGCAATTTAATTTTCAGAAGGTCTCAGTCATTGAGTATATCTTCTGTTGTTTGTTGTAGGTTATGTTTGATAGTCTATTTATGCCAAATTAGGGCCTGTATGTTTGTCCCATTTTCCTGCAAATGGATAGCCAGTTTTGCCAGCACCATTTGTCAAAGAGACTGTCTCTGTTCTACTGGTTTATCTGTGTGCCTGTTTGACTAACGGGGCTGTTTTGCGATCATGGACTGTGAGACTTCCTACTTTGTTCTTCTTCTTCAGTAGTGCTTTTTTTTTTTTTTTTTTTAATTTTTTTTAAATCCGAGGTGTCTTTCCTTTCCATATAATATTAGTGGTGTTGTGTGGCGTTGTTTGGTACCATTGAGTTGGCTCCAACTCATAGCAACCCTGAGTACAACAGAATGAAACACTGCCCATTCATGAGCTATCCTCACATCCTGGGATGTTGAGGGTCTTCCCCTTTTTCAGTGACCTTTTACTTTACCAAGCATGATATCCTTCACCAGGGACTGGTCCCTTCTGACAACATGACCAAAACATGACCAAAGTAGGTGAAATGAAGTCTGGCCATTCTCACTTCCAAGGAGCATTCCAGCTGCACTTATTCCAGGGCAGATTTATTCATTCTTCTGGCAGTGCATGGTATTTTCAGTATCTCTCACTAATCATAATTCAAGGGCATCAGCTCTTCCTTATTCACTGTCCGGCTTTCCCTTTAATATGAGGTGACTGAAAATACCATGGCTTGGGTTAGGCATGCTTCAGTCTTCAAAGTTACATCTTTGCTTCTCAACACTCCAAAGAGGTCTTTTGCAAGCAGATTTACCTAGTTCAATATGATATCTGATTTCTTGGCTGCTGCTTCCATGGACATTGATTGTGGATCCAAGTAAAATGAAATCCAAGTTCAATCTTTCATCCAGTTATTGTGACATTGCTTATTGGCCCAGTTGTGAAGAATTTTGTTTTCTTCCATATAGGATTAGTAATTGTCTTTTCTGTGACCTTAAAGAAAGTTGATGGAGCTGGATGAGGATTGTATTGAATCTATAGATTGTGAAAATGTCAGTACCATTCAAAGCTATGGTCAGTCTTCCATTTATGTAGATCTTATAGTTTCCTTTGTATAGGTCCTTTATGTCCCTGGTAAGATTTAGATTTAATCTTTTTGATAGCTATTATAAAGGATATTGTCTTCCTGATTTCCTTTTTAGATATCTCTTTGTTGATGTAGAGGAATCCAACTTATTTTTGTATGCTGATCTTGCTACCTTGCTGAGTCTTTCCATTAGTTCCAGTAGTTCTCGAAGTTTCTTGGGTTTTCTATGTACAGTATCTTATCATCTGCAAATAGCTTTATTTTCTTTCTTGCCTTATTGCCCTTGCTTGGACTTCCACTACAATATTGAGTATAACTGGTGAGAGAGGGCACCTTGTCTGGGTTGCTGTGCCTTCCATCTATCTCTGTTGAGAATAATGTTGGTGATTGATTGGTTTTCATATATTCCCTTTGTTATGTTACAGTGCTGTCTGACCATTGCTTTTGCTGTGTTTTCATTCTTGAGTCAAAGAATTCTTTTAATTTCATGTTTTATTTCTTCTCTTACCCATTTTTTAAGGAGGGTGTTACTCAGTTTCCATGTGTTTACATTTGTTTACATTTTTGCCCTTGATCCTTGTATTGTTGATTTCTAATTTTACAGCATTGTGATCTGAGAAGATGCTTTGCAGTATCTTGATGTTTTTAAATTTATTGAGACTTGCTTTGTTATCTAATATACGGTATAATATGGAGAATGTTCCATGCACACTGGAAAAGAATGTATAAGGTACTGTTGTTGGGTGGAGTGTTTTGTATTTTGTATATACCTATGACATCTAGTTGATTGGGGAGATCTGTTGGTGTAGTGCCTAAGGCATTTGACTGCTAAACAGAAGGCTGGCAGTTCAAATCCACTAGCTACTCTGCAGAGGGAAGGTTGAGCAATCTACTTCTGTAGTGATACCACCTTGGAAACCCAGGGAGGGGTTGCTGTGAGTCAGATTCAACTCCATGGCAGTGAGTTTGTTTTGGTGGTACCTTTTTTCTAGTTGTTCCCTTCATTGAAAGTGGTGTATCAAAGTCTCCTAGTATTTTTGTGGAATTTTCTATTTCTCTTTCTCTTTTCAGTTCTGTTATAGTTTATGTATTTTGGTGCTTTTTCATTGAATATGTAGATATTTATTACGGTTATGTTCTCATGTCCTTCCTTGTCGCTCGTGGTAAAGTCTATTTTATCAGGAATTAATATTTCCTCTCCTCTGTTTTGGTTTCCATTTGCTTGATACATTTTTTCCAATCTTTCATTTTTATCTTTGTGTCTAAGGTTTATCTCTTGTAGACAGCATATTGATGAGTCATGTTTCCTTATCCATTCTGCAACTCTCTCTTGTGATTGGTGCATTTAATCCATGCATTTATCAACATGTATGAATTTATTGCTGTCATTTTGTTGTGGTATTGCCAATTTATTTGTTGCATATAATTTTCCATGCTGAGCTCATTTTATTTCCTTTTTTTTTTTTGAAAACCATTTCTTCCATTACTATTGTTTCAGTATTTGCTAAATATCTGTGTCTTCTCTCTTTTTTATTTTGATGAGATGTTTCATTAATTTTCTTTGAGGTTTACTCTGTGATTTATTATTTTTTTCCCAAGTTTAAAACAGTCCATTTACTTCAGAATCATCTTTTCTTTCTCTCCATTTGGAAGTTTATTTTACTTTGAATACTTCTATATCTGAGTGGGTTTCTGGATTATGTTACTCTGAGAAGAACACTGGAGAAACTGATACAAGGATTTTTCCTCCAGAGAGGACAGAGAGAGACTTCCCCTAGAGCTGGTGCCTTGAGTGTGGACTTCTGTCCTCTTAAACTATAACTAAGACATACCCCAGATGCTTACCAAGAAATTAATATGAACCAATGGTTTTCAAATGAGGGATTGTGAACATGTAATACATTTTAACTGTATAAGGTTTTTTAAAATATAAATGAGGCATTCAGTGAAAGAAAGAAGCCAGACTCAAATCCCCACCTTTTGACAGTACTCAAATTTGTAAATCTAGATTTCTAGTTTGGATTTCTGAATCCAGGGAAATTGTTGTAAACAGTAAACATTCAACATATAAGAGTGACATGGCTGGCAATGTTGGATTCCCTTCCACACTGGCAGATACTTTTGGTGCCCTGCTCACATGTTCTTGATAGCAACCATTCTAGCACTGCCACTACTGCAGATTTTCCATTCTCTGTTCTAAGTTTCTCTTCTCCCATGCATGGGGCATGTCAGAAGTATCAGAGAGTTGATGACACTGGGGATAACCCTGAGCTAATGATTGATAGGAGTTGAATGATAAATACCCCCAACTTCTATACTTCAGGCAAGAAACTCTGAGGTGCAGTCAACAGTGCCTCTCAGAGGTCCCCTGCAGGATTTTACTTTGGTTGCCTACAGAAGTAATTTCCTTTCCTGAATCATTTCTCTCCTCCCCCACCAGTATGTCCTGGAAAAAGCTCCCAGATAAATTACTTGCACTTACATCTTTGTTCCAGGATCCACTTATAAGCACCCAAACCAAGATCGACTCCCCACAATAGCAATTCTGGGTGAGACCTTCCAATATGATCAGGTTCTGAAACTCAGATCTCTGGGTTACTCAAAGTAAGTGAAGTCATTGGTGGCTTTTTGTTTTTCATTCAAACATACCTTTCACTGGTGGAGCAGGCAGTTTCCTCCTCTGCTGCCTTGATGTGTCTATGGTTTGTACCTACAAAGGGAACACAGTAGTCAATTCCCTGTCACAAAGCCAAAAGATATTTTCTGAATTTTCCAGGCCAGGTTGTGCAGTGGATCAGTAGAGGTAGTGAGGGACAAACACACCTGGTTCCTTTGCTTCTGATCCCGTTTTCTTGTGAGGCGCACACACGGTGCTATGTTTAATCCTGCAATGGTCAGGGCTGCAATCCGGCTCTCAATATCAGAAATCTTAATGCAGCAGAAAGACAGGTTTAGTGGGAAGAAAGTACAGAAGGGGAAAATCTTCATATAAAGAACAAATACTTTGATGTATGTTCACTACTTTCATTCAACTTCTACCAGGTACTTCTATATCTATTAAAATTGCTTCTAGGAAAGAATGTGGACATCATGAATCCACACAGTTGCAAGTGACTGATGAAAGCTTCTCAAACCAAACCAAACTCACTGTCATTGAGTCAGTATCTCTACAGAAGTAGATTGCCCAGTCTTCCTTCTGAGGAGTGGCTGGTGGATTTGAACCACCAGCCTTCTGGTTAGCAGTCAAATGCCTTATGCACTGTACCCCCAGAGCTCCTGATGAAAGCTTAGCTTGCAGCCTTTTGGAGAAACTTGTGCAATTCATTGGTCTACAAAATAAATCACTGGCTTTCTTTGTAAATGTATAGTTTGGTAGTTCCAGAGCATGTTGACAACCTTATCAGAGTACACCTGATGATAAATGAAAGCCTAGTGTACCATGGGAACTTGGCCCCAGGTTACCTGGCTCAGCATGGGGGTGTGGGAGTGGTCAGGGAAGGCTTCCATGGGAGGCAAAACTTGGATTGAGTTTAGCAGGGCAAATAGGTTCTGCTTCCTTCTTCTATTACTCCACATATCCAAAACCACAGCACTGGGCTTCAGTATGGAGGTCTAGCAACCCCTGTTGCAGATCTTTTGCCACCATTAAGAGGCCAAGTGGCCTTGAGAAACTGCTTGTGCTCCCTGGGCATCTGTTTCCTCATCTGTAACATGGGAAGGTCAGAGCAGAGCTCACAATTCTTCTCAACTGAGTCTGAAGGCAATTACAGAAAGCAAGAGCCTGTTCTGTGCTAGGAAAGAACTCGGTTTGTCCTCTATCCCAGGGATGAGGAAGACACAGCCCCTGCTCTTAGAAATGTCAGGCACAGAGCTAAGTGCTTTAAATATGTATACTTATCATGTCTCACAATAATCCTATGAAGAATATACCATTGTTTTTATTTTGCAGATGAGGAAACTGTGGCTCAGAGGGATAAGTGATAAACCCATCTTATATCCATTGATCTGGGGCAGAGCTTGGCATTAACTCCATTGTCCATGTTTTTGTAACACTGACACATTCTCAGAGGTCTGGACAGGGGCTAGCATAGTCAAAGAAAGAGGTGGGGTTCACAGCCATCCTGCTGAGATGGCATGGTCTGAGTGCTGCTGCGAAGCAAACATGTTACTGGAAGATATGCCCAGCAGCAGTGTGTACATGCGCCACCCTCTGCCCTGAGTCTATCTGCCTCCGGTATCCTTCCCTCAACTATTTTGTGCTGCTCAACATAAATTCTAATTCTGTTATCATTTACTGAGGACTTCTTTGGACAAAGCCTACTGGGATCAGTGCTATAGGGGATAGATGCAGAGAGAAGAGAGTTGAAGGGTCATCAGATACGTTCTCTCTCCCTCAATTCAAGGGTGACAGTCCTGTTCAGAAACAGAACGGTAGTTGAAGGCCAAGTCTTTAGCAGATGGTGAAAGAATGCAGACTAAAGCTGCTTGGCAGCTGGCCCCAGAAGGGCCACTGTGCAGCCCCTGCCCCTTCCTGGCCCCCAGATACCAGATACCTTCCTGTTCTTGACTCCTCAAGTTCCACATTGAGTGTTGCATTCCTTTGGTTTATACACTAGTAAATTGCACATGATTCTGAGAAAGGTTGCAGGCTAAGCTTTCATTAGTTGTTTGCAACTGTGTGCATTCTTGATGCCCATGTTCTTTCCTGGAAGCATTTTTAAGGAGGGCCTTGTTCAGAGGGCCGTGGAAGGCAGGCCAATGGGAAGCAAGTTGCTGACTTCCTGGTTTTGCTAATTAACAGACTCTGGAATAAGAAGGGGGTAACTTGTCAAAGTTTTCACCCATAGGGCAAAGGACAAAGAAAGAAAGTAGAAAAGAGACTACAGTGGGCTGATGTAGCCTGTATTTTTTGTCTATATAGGCGGTTATGTCCCACCTCATTCCTATTCCTAAGACTGTGTGATTTATGACCTGTATACTTCCTTGAAAGGGATGGCTGATTTACCTGAGTTTCCTGGGAGCCAGAGCAAAGAGGTAAAAACTATGTATTCAGAAGAATAGCTTTTCCTGATATAAAGAGTTAAGAGAGCTTCTCCCCTGGAAGGCTCCAAGATGACCCTTAGCACTGTCCCCACAAATCATCTTACAGTCTCTATTAGCACCGGGCGATGACATCCTGCCTGAAAGATAAACTCCAAGTTCATAGTGCTCCTAGATCCTGGATTAGTCCAAGTATACATCTACCCTCATCAGTGGGTACCCTCCTACCGGCATGAAGGAAACTCTCTGTTAGATTTTTTGTAAGATGAGGCAGTGTTTCATTCTGTTGTACAAAGGGTCGCTGTGAGTTGGAGCCAACTCGATGGCACCTAACAACAACAGCAAACCACCACAGTCTTTGGAACTGTCACACAATGATTAGGTGGGACTATGCAAATAAGGTGGCAGGAACTGGTAGTACTAGGGGAGTATCCGTGCTGATTAAGGTCCCCATGTTGAGGTAATCCACAAAACTGAAAGGCAAGCTTGACAACTCCCATGCAAATATCTTATGAAAGGGAGAGTTTGAAAACTAATAGCTCAGTCTATGGTCAATTCTGAACAGAGTCCAAGTAAAGTTCCATAAAAATGGCAAATGAGTGTCTTCACAAAGTTATAGAGAATAGAGTGATAGGTTCTGAAATAGATCTAAATCCTGCCTGCTCCTCATGCAAATATCGCCTGAGAAATCTGGGCTTTTAATTTCATTTACTCATTCAACACATTGTTAGCAAGTGCTAAACTTGTATGAGGCATCATGCTAGTCACTGAACTGTTAACCTAGACAGATATAGTCCTATCTTCAGGGAGCTTTTAGTCTATAGTGGGGAAAAGTGACATCAAAGAAGTCAGCGACAGAATTTTAAGAGTTGGGGAAGGGTGGAATTGGAACCTAGAAAAAGGGAGACCAGCTAAGGAGTCAGGGACTTTGTCAAAGAGATAACTGATAGAGGTTTTAAAGGGAAGTCTAGTATTAGCAAGACTGTCATTTAGGGGAGAAAATGACTGTATTTTAAAAAAGGAATTAGCTGGAATTCACCTGGAAGGACCATAATCCATATAAACATGTTTTAAAAAATTCTTGTGGAAAATGGGGCTCGCTCATCTTTTGCCCTATAAACCCCTATCTGAGCAGAGAGAGCGGTTCTCACCTGGAGCTCAGCATGGTGAACCTGAGCTGCAGCTGTGGCTACCTGGTCCTCCAGATCTGCCAGTTCTGTCTCGTCGGTGCCACTGTGGATGCAGCGGGCAGCATCCTCCAGCTCGTTCAGCTGGCCCTCCAGTCCATACACGGTACCTGCTGCCAGGTACACCTACAGAGAAGAGCACAGCCTTGGGACACATGTCTGTGGACCTAGGACTGGTGAGATCCTTTCAGGGGATGCTGGTGGCTCAGGGGAGTGAGAATGAACTGGGCTCAACACTGGGAGAAAAAGATGAGGAACTCCCTCCCCTACTGGTAAACTTTCTTTGCACTTATTGATAGCATGAGGTCTTGCCACCCCTCTCATTATCAGCTATACCCCTTCCAACTTTTCTGCAAGGAAAAATAATGATAAAATAGTACAAATTATATGGTGTCAGCTATGTAAATTGCGGATTTTGTCTGGTGACTATAAAAAGGAAAGAAGACCAAGTAAAAAAAACAACAAAAACAAGTCATGATGGGGTTTCTGCAATAAACATTTCAGTTGGCCTTTAGTAGTTGAAAAAAATTCAGAAATTTTGAGTGAATTCTCTCTGATTAATTACCTTCTAAGAGCCCTGTGGACAGGCTGGTGGGTTCGAACTGCTGATCTTTGGGTTAGCAGCCAAGCACCTAACAAGTATGCCACCAGGCCTAATTTTAAATGGCCTAATTGACAGAGAAAGATGTAGCAGTCTGCTTCCATAAGATCCAGCCTTGAGGGGAAGTTCTACTCTGTCCTATAGGGTCACTATGAGAATTACCTTCTGCTTGACTGAAACAAGTTAAGAGAATTAAAATGAATCTGAACTCTGTAGTATGAACATTGTCACTTCTTAAAAGATAGTGATGTTAAGAGAAGATGCTAAATCTATTTCTCTGTCAATTAGGCCATTTAAAATATTTGAGATAAAGGAAAAGAAATATTTTGACCTCCAAGTTTATAAGGTAATTCCCATGAAAGGGGGCACACAAAGTAAATTATTGGAATAATTTAGAGTAAGGGATGCTGGACAGGGTGAATGAAACAAATGCTTCCTCAGCTTAATAATGTGATAAAACAACCGACAACACAGGAAACAAGATGTATCTAAAGGTAATTACTTACAGAGAGGTTCTTAAGGTTTTCTAATCATGTAAGAATGAGAATTCCAAAACACTTAATTGTGCTTATGGAGAACCTGTACATAGACCAAGATTCTGTAGTTCTAACAGAACAAGGGGATACTGCATAGTTTAAAAATTAGGAAAGCTGTATGTCAGGATTACATCCTTTCACTATACTTAATCTGTATGCTGAGCAACTAATCTGAGAAGCTGGACCACATGAAGAATGCAGCATCTAGAGTGGAGGAAGAATCATTAACAACCTGCGATATGCAGGTAATACAGCCGTTCTTGCTGAAAGTAAAGACGACTTTGAAGCACTTGCTGACAGAGATTGAAGACTATAGTCTTCAGCATGGATTATACCTCAACATAAAACCAAAATCCTCACAACTGGACCAATAAGCAATATCATGATAAAGGAAGCAAAGATTGAAGTTGTCAGGGATTTCATTTTACTTGTATTTACAATTAACACCCATGGAAGCAGCAATCAAGCAGCCCAGTTGTCATACTGCACTGACATACTGGGCAACTCCACTGCAAAAGACCTCTTTAAAGTGTTAAGGAGCAAAGATGCCACTTTGAAGACTAAGGTGAGCCCACCCCAAGCCATGGTATTTTCAGTCACCCAATGCTTGTGAAAGCTGGACAATGACTAAGGAAGATGGAAGAAAAGTTATTGCCTTGGAATCATGGTGTTGGAGATGAATACTGAAAATGCCATGGACTTCCAGAAGAAGGAACACATATGTCTTGGAAAAAGTACAACTGGAATGCTCCTTAGAAGGCAGAATGGCTAGACTTTGTCTCACCTTTGGTCTTGTTGCTAGAGGAACCATTCCCTGGAGAAGGATACCATGCTTGGTAAAGTAGAGGGTCAGTGAAAAGGGTCAGTGAAAAAGGTGAAGACCCTCAGTAAGATGGATTGACACAGTGGCTGTATTGGGCTCGAGCACAGCAGGGATTGTGAGGATGGCACAGGACTGGGCATTGTCTTGTTCTGTAGGACACAGAGTCACTATGAATCAGAGCCAACTCAATGGCACTTAATAACAATAACAACAAAACAGGTAATTACAGAAATTCTGAGTTGATCTGAATGAAATGTGTGAGGCTTTTAAAAGTTCCTTTAACTGGAGTTAAAAATGTAACAGAGTTGAGGATGAGCCAAAGCTTATCTGCCCAAGTCCTGTGCATCGTTGGTACTGGGTGATGCTGAGTGTTGGAGAGGAGTGGAAAGGACCCTGAGTTCTTCCTACTGTCAATCCCTTGCCATCACATCATCTCTGTTAAAACTGTTGATTTTATGGCCTTCATGAACTACTACCTCCCTTACCATGAGATTAGACCAGAAGAAATGGATGGTTCCCAACTACTTTAACTGAACATTTTGATCAGGGATGTAGATGGATTTTGATCAAAAGGAGAAAAATTGTGGAATGGAACTTCAAATTCTTATTGGAAACTGACTTATTAGACACTAGACACATTGAGACTGGAAAAACATCAAAATCTATTGCTTGGGAACAACTTTTAAACCTTGAACCAAATCTATTCTATAAATTCATCTTTAAACTAAACAGTTTAGCCACACACACACACACAACCCTGGAAATTTTACAAAACATTTCTCAGTGCAGCAAAGGCAGGTTCAGGAAGCTATATGGTTGGCTGAAAATAAATTTGACTGTGGCTCACCAGGCACAATTAGTTGTGTGGTAGGAGCTTCCAGAGTGACTGACATGCTGAATGTCACATCAATTATACAGGGGTCCTGAATCAAACATTTGCTGGTAACCACCACATTTCAGTTTGCCTTTTGTTTTATATTTCTTTGTCATATGCTGAGTATTAGAGAAATTGTTTCCAAAAGCTCTTCACAATTTAATTATAGCCATTTGTTGTCTTCAAAATAAGAAACAATTATTTATTGTCATATGATAGAAATATTTCAAAGCTATTTGAGTGCTGAAATTATTTTTTTAAAAAATCTTAATTTTGAAGTTGAAAAACTTCTCTTCACTTCAGAAGGGAAGAAAAATTGGGATGGGAAGCAGTGAGAGAAAAGGCAGGGCCATTTTCACTGTTTTAGATATTATACTTTTCCCTATCAACACCAAAAATAAAAAAAAAAGTAAAATTATTTTACTAAGATTTTGAATATAAACTTACAATTTTTCACAATGAAACAAAACTTGGAATTATTAAGTGTAATGAATCATTTAAATGTGGCTATGGCTAAATATAATTTGGCATAATTTTGGTCTCAGCATTTTGATTTTACCAGAAACACTCAAAGCTCAATATCATCACACCCTATGACTGTATCAGCCTAATAGCACCTTGCTGCTTATGTCTTCAATGTGGTCATCTGCTAATGTTCCTTGTTTTTTCTGCCAAGACAGAACATTATGAAATAGCTCCGAGCCCTCAGCAAGGCCAAGACATTCATCTTTCACTTTGTGTTCCCTAAAAACCTGCTTTCCTGGCAACAAAGAGGAGGAGAGATTCAGTGGTTTGGCACCGACACTTGCCAAGCAGGGAATATGGCCAAACCAATGGCGCCTAAAGGACTGGAGGAGGAGAGTGCTGGATGGTGATGCTGATGATCTTGGTGATGATAAAGACTTATTTATTCAGCCAGGCCCTGAGCCAAAGTTTTAGGTGACTTATATCATTGAACACTCACAGCCACCCTTGAGAATAGGTACTATTATCATCGCTGTGTTAAAGAAGAGAACATTATGACCTAGGTAAATTAAGTAACTGTTCCAAGGTCTCAAAGGTAGGAAGTGGTAGAACCTGGATTTGAGTTCACAGGGCTGATGTCAGATCCCACACCTTTCTGTACTCTGCCCTGTGATAAAGGACATTAACCTTGGTTGGAACATCACGATGTTTTACATTTTGAAGTTTACCTTATAGGACTAGAATTGTTTTAAATACTCATGACTCTGTTGCTGGGTTGAAATAACAAAATAAACAAACATGCTATTTAATTAAAATGTTATTCTAGCATTTTAAAAAAAGTGACCCACTTACAATTTAAACCTCAAATTGCTTACTTGGTTAAGGTTCACTTTTGGAGAGACCTATGGTTACCATGTCCAAGCAATCTGTGTCTTACTCAAACTCTAGTCACCAATGACTAGATGACTCCATTGACTTGCTTCTGGTTTCAACAAATCTTTCTCAGTGATTCAAGGAATGACAATAGTTGTTTAATTAAGGAAAGAGTATGTGGTCAGACACATTAGGGCAAGTAACATTAAACAGATTTCTTTACTACAGGACTTCATGGTGTCTTTAATATATTAATAAGTATCTCAATTTTCCTGGATAATTGAGCATACAGAGTCCTCAAACTTATTTGACCTTACAGTATTTTGTTGAACTTGGGTTTCATGAAATATATAGGTGACTAAAGTTAGACAGTAACTGATACTCTTTCTTTTCTTGCTCTCTGAGGGCTGAGAACCACCTGAGTAACCATGATCACATCCATGTGCTGTGGGGCATGTTCAGGAGCCTTGAGAACGAAGACTTACATTCTGTGCCTAGTCCTCAATTCTGTAGCAGAACTAAAAGGAAAATTGGGCTGGTCCCTCCACTGCCTCTGGGAGGGCAATTAGGAACAGAAGGCTGCCTCTATCATTTAGCAAAGATGAAAATGAAGTCATCATCAGATGGGGGTCAGGAGGAGGAAAGAGAGAGCCAACTTTATCCCTCATACTCATGACCCTGTTATACCTACCTGGTGTCCTGCCCAAGTTCTGAGAATGTTCATTCTGATTGACCCCAGATCCATTTTCTATATTTCTTTGCTATGCTCTCTGTTGCCTGTCAGTTTGGCCTACATGAACTTCACCAGGGTCCCCTTGCTGGCTGGAATTGGTGTCACCAATGGGATGCACCAATAGGAAATCAATTACAGGAGAAGAAAGATGAGATTTCTTCTCTTACTCTCTCCCTGTGTGGGCACCAGGGTACCAATGGTGCCTCTGCTTCCATGATTGA